TGTGTGTGTGTGTGTGTGTGTGTGTGTGTGTGTGTGTGTGTGTTTCCACATGCACATTAGCACCACTGACCTATGTGCAACACCAGAGTCGGTGTATTAAAGTCTGTTTTGCTGATTGTCTCCATGGATGGTCTGATGTGTGTTGCTGTGTATTATGGGATGGAATAGTCTTTCTATTCTTTCCTCCTATAAAGATTGGTCCCAGTGTTTCCTCCCATAAAGGAGGTAATAAAGCAGCACTGAAACACATTTCTGTGGCATACAGAGAATCCGACCAGCTTCCAGTTCCTCTTCCTTTAATCACATGCTTTAATGGAGACTTCTGATTGGCTGTCCGCAGCCAATATAATATTTTTAACAGCAGGTGGGATGAGACCAATATTAGAGTCATCTCTCAGCAGCCAATAGGAGCCAGTAGAATAAACAACTGCTTGAAGCTGTAGCCTCCCAGACATGACCTGTATATATGCTGACCTCATATTTAATATTTGAGATGCACTTCATGCAGAAATGCTGGGAGCTCTTCACCCATTCTGTGAAGATAAGAGAGTCTGCTTTTAAATGGATCATTCAATGACGGTCGCTGTGCTGTGAGAGTGTCCACCACTGTAACACTGGAATATTGTATTGCAGAAAACAGTGAAAAGCAAAGTAAATCCATTATGAAGAAACGCTGACATTCAGTTTCCTCTCTGTGTGAGGTTATTTGATGAAATTTTCATTTGACACTACACAATGTGTCGGCTCTTTTACAGCATTACTATAAATTCTGTTCCAAGTACTACAAATTGGTACTGATGAATAATTTGCTGTTGATGCCAAATAATTCAGTTTAATGAATATTGTGGTTGACACTAGGAAAAGGTTCTGGTGTCAGTTACCATTTGTTCCCTGTTTGTGCGCAACAACATGACATTTATTTCCCATGACACCTAACATATTGTGCAAGATGCATGTAAATCTGCATCCTTGGCTTTTTCGTCCTCCAGGGCAATGTGACCTTCTCGTGTTCGCAGCCCCAGCTGGTGGCTTGCACCTTTGTGAGCTCCAGCAGCAGCTTCCTGTCGCTCCCATCAGCATCGCCTGCTGTGGGGGGTTTCTCCGTTCGCTTCCAGTTCAGGACGTGGAACCCGGAGGGGTTGCTGCTCTCCGTCCAACTCAACCCAGATCCACAGAAGCTGAGGCTGCAGATCAGCAACAGCTGGCTACGCCTGACCCTCCACAGCTCGGGACGACAGAAATCAGAGGTCTCAGCCGGTGAGTCCACACAACAGACTAATGTGTCCCTGAGTCTACTGTGCACTCCTGATAGTACAAAATCAGACATTTCCTGTTCGGCTCGAACTAGACTTAATCGTCCCCACAGATCCATGTCTGCACTAGATCTGAGATAGAAAAGGTTCAGTGGCATACACCACTTAGCCACAACATGAAGCCACTGACAGCTGAAGTGATTAACATTTATTAAGTCGTTATAGTGGAATGTGCTGCCAGAGACAAACTCACCTAAAGATTGGTGCATGCCAGTTACACAGCTGGCCTGCAGGATAATGCAGCTGCATGCTGCAAACCAGCTCAGGAGCAGCTCAAGAAACATGAAATATAGTCACAGAAATGACCCTCATGTAATGATCAGGACCCAAAGTCCAAGCAGGAGGAACTGGAGGACACCAGGAGAGGCCCTGTGTCCAACCCCAGTGGGTCATTTTTGTTAGAGCGATGCAGAAACCTGTAGAGATGAAAAATGAAGCTAACGTACAGCTGTGCTCCTGTGCACACTCGGCCCCTTTTAATACACGTAACACGACCTGGAGGATGGAACAGCGCATGTTCGTACACTTTTAGTATTTGATTAACTTGTTAATTTGAAAATTTGTGTTTTAGTCATTTGTCTTCACAGTGTGCGGTTGTAGCAGTGTGACACATTAGATCAAGTTAATGTTGTTTTATTCTATTTGTGAGTCTACTAAGAAGCTACTACTAGCTTAGCAAAAGGACTAGATGAATTGGTCTAGCATGAACACAGACTGGCACAGGGTTGGGTCAGTTTCAGCTTCTGAATCACATTTTGATTCACAGCATCATCGGCGAACGCCAGCCTCCAAAAGCCTGTTTGCACTGCTGAGTCCTCCAAGGTGCTTGTTTTGTGCTCAGCAACCAATTTAATCTGTCTGACTTGTATCACCTTCATCCTGAAGAAAGTCGAAAATAATATGGCTTTTTCTTTTTTTGGGGGGGAAAATATCATCTAATTATCTGTATAGGATTCCTTAGCAAAAATAACAGAGATAAGTAAGATTGCTTGGGGGAAGTCAGGCTCTCAGCAGTTGGATGGCTGCAGGGAAATATAGATGGAGAAGAAAACCACAGCTCAGGGACTGTATTCCCTTTTATATAATTTGCCTCATGGTGCATTAAATTAAACATCTGCGCAAGGACATATCAGCCTTAGAGCTGCAGCCTATGAAGCCTGTGACCTCGAGTCCTGCAGTCGTGCAGAAACAATACATTTACCATAGTTAAAGGAAGGATCTGTTTATTGTTCGTGTTACCGTCATCAGAATCCCTCGTCTTTCTCGTCCACTTTTGGAGGTCAAACTGAAATTAGATATAGCGTATCATAGCATCTATACGCAGCAAACAATGTTATCATATTAAAGGCAGTGCGAGACAATCCCCAGGTCCTCGTCTCTGATGTGTGGAAACCCATCCTGTGGGAGCATGCTGCACCAAGCACAGATGCAGGGTGGAGGGCATCCCTATATGGAGATGATGTGTGATGCTCTGTTAGCTGAACATCTTCTCTGTGATGCCTGGACCGTAGCGTGGGAGAGCCCGGTGTGTAAACGTGAGCGCGGCGTGCTGAGTGAGCGTCGGGCACAGCGATCGTCCGAAGCTTAAGAAATAAAATGGAAACATGGTTTTAATTAAAGGCAGCTACAGATTCTCACCACTTTGCTGGAACAAAGTAACGATGTCAGATACCGAGCAGCATCACTCTCAGTGTAATCATTAAACTGCAGACTTTTGTTTTTCTCCAAAGTTGAACTTTTCCCTTCAGTTTCATTCGCACTGTCACATCACTGTTCCACTGCGTCCTCGTTCAGCTGATAGAAGAGCATTGGCAGGATGAAAATGGGCCCTGACAACGTGGGAGCTGCGTGCACGGGGACCTCAATGTGAAAAGAATTTCGTCAACATGTCGTCACAACATGTTGCATGAACACACTGGTGTGGACACGGGCTGCCACTGACTCTTTGGAGCAGTGATCACATCCAAATATATTTTTTAGAGGCAGGATAAGAGTTGACCTGTTTTTACAGTTGAAACAAATGCTTGCGTCAATGCGATCGGCTGTTCCTACCCAGCTAATAGTCCCTGCAGCGTATCAGGTCATTGTTGTGCAAGTCCTCACACTCATTTAGTTGTTCAGAGTCTGTCTTGTCCTGCTGTCAGACTCCAGCTCCTCCGTCTTGCACTGATTATGATCCTTATTCTGCTGAGGAGATGCTGTGACTACAACACTGGTGCTGTAGCACTGGAACACACTCAGCCCCGGGTCGGATGTGAAAACGATAAGCGCGTCGTGAGGATATCAGCTGACATGAAACACAAACAGAAGCTGCCTCGACCCAACTCTTAGCTCACAGGGATTATTAGCTGTACATACTAATGGCCATGTTTAGTGTGAGCGTTCGCCACTCTAACACTTTAAAAGATGAGCAGCAGCCACACAAACTGACTGGGCAGCAAGGAGACAGCAAACACATGGTGAGATTTATATTTCTGACCTGAAAGGAGGGAAGGAAACTCAGATTAATGTTGTCTGCTGTGGCAACTCTGCTTATTCCATGACACAGAGAAACTGCCCGCGGCCCTCAGACTCTTCTGGGATGCAGGGATCTGCTGCAAGTCACGGGCACTGTTGGACTGAGTGTGAGTGGAACAGAGGCGTGGGTCAGTCAGTCCTCCTGAAGGCTGCAGCTTTGTGATGATCTGTCACAGCCACTTTTACTTTGGTGAAGCACTTGGTGGCTTACAGGTTAAAGGTTTGGGTTAGGCAGTGCAGGCAGCTGTAGTAACCTCCTCAGTCATCATCAGCAGACTCAGCAACAAGGGAACAAAGAATCTGACTGACATGGTCTGCAGAGTCGTGTGAGTGTGTTTGCTCACATGTCTGCAGCCTTCTGACTGTAGGTGATCAGCTGTAACAGAGATGCTGGTGTCATCTTTAAGTGAAGGATGGAGAAGGATTGACTGCGGTACAGTGCTTACTTCACATTAGTGGAGGTAATGCACCCACGTTATTTGTTGACAATAATAAAGAACCAGGAAGAAGCTGACGTTAGTAATTTCTCCACATTTCCATATTCACTTCATCTAAATGATAAAATATGCGCTGAGTGACACGGCGGAGGAGGCAGGCTTTTTGTTTGGAGGCTCCGAGTGATGGAGGAGGCTGGAAGCTCTGCAGCTCCTGTGGTGTCCGTGAAAACAAGCGTGTGTGTGCACAGGAAATTTACTGGCAGCTCTCAAAAGTCTATTTTTATTTTTTTAAATAAATAAATATTGTTGTCATCTAAACTTCCAAACTGAACCGTTCTTCATCAGGCAGGAGAGTCAGCGATGGGCTGTGGCACTCTGTGAGCCTCGACGGCAGGAACCTACAGATCACTCTGACTGTGGATAACGAGCCCTCCTCCACTATTGAACTTTGGGAACAAGTGCAATCCAGAGGCAGCTTATACTTTGGAGGTTCGTGGATTTACACACCAATATTAACATAGCTTAAGACGTTCTCCTTTACACTCTAACCCAATGTTTCCTGGGAATAAAAGCTAAAGGTTGTATCGTGTGTTATTTCCATCCAGGCTGTGCTGCGACTGCTCCAGACTGCCAGGGCTTTGCTCCGGCGTTCCAGGGTTGTATGCGGCTCATATTCATCAACAGCCAGCTGATGAATCTCAGTCATGTACAGCAAGGACTGCTGGGGAATTATAACGAGCTTCAGTTCGACACGTGCAATATAAAAGACAGGTAAAGTATCCTGAATGTGTTTGAGTAAGAACATGGCTCAGACGTAGAGCTGCTGAAAGCATGCACACGTGACTGTTGAATGTCAAACATTATCCAAGATGGCAGCACAGCCTCATCCATGCCCACTCTGTTAATTTGTGGATGACAGCGTGCTGCCTGCAGCGCAGCCTGAATGTCACTGACATCTTGTCCTATAGAGACAAACTGACAGGATCGTCCAATTAAAGTGCAACAGAAAACTGGCGAGTAGCTTCCCTGGCAGAGGGCTATGCTAACAAGCTGCCTCCCTACTGTCCTGTGTGCCGTGCTCTCCCTCATTACCCCACAGCTGCGGGCCCTGTGAGCACCTTCATGTGGATCTTGTACAGGATTGAAGTAAACATGCAGACTGCTTTTTCTTCAGTTTCACATGTCTGCTGTCTAAGCCAGCGTTTGCAAACACAGGAGCGACGGCAGTCTCCCGTGTCAGTGAGGCGAACGGCACGCTGCAGGAAGTGACCGAATAAAGAAGGCGATGCAGCTCCAGGAGATGCAGCTCCAGGAGCATGCTTTGGTGCTCTTCCACGTGATTTCATTTATTGAAGGGCGTCAGTCAAGAAGCAAACTGCCACTAGGATTACACAAACAGCATCAGGCTGTCTTTGATGAAACATGGCTGAAACTTTGGTGCAGATACTGCAGCGGTGTACAAACTCACCCTCCTCAAGATGAGTTCAGCCATCCTCTGTTTTCTTTAAGCAGCCATCCATACGTCCATTTCTACTGCTGGCCACAGGGACAGCAGTCTCACTGTAGTCCAAACATCTCCCAGCCTCTGGCTCTGAATCGGAGATGTTCTCAAACCAAGTGAAAAACATTTCCATCATGTTCTGGGCCTCCTCTTGGATGGACGAATTACTCAGCTTAGATGCATCCAGAAGGCATCCTGACAGGAAGCCTGAACCATCACTGAGGGAACAGCAGCTCTACCCTGAATCACTCAGATCCTCATTCAGCCTCTGCTGTCACTTTATCGCGGAGGCCAACATTTGGTGCATCTCTAAAGCTGAGCCAGGACACCCTTCAGCTTTTGGTTGGACCCTGTTCTTATTCAAATGATGACACATACAGCAGTACCACTGCTTACATTGTACCGTGTGGGCCAGAGGGCTGCACTGTGTAGAGTCACTGTTATCATCCAGTGCACACACTTCACAGCATGCCAGCCTGCACTCCCGTCTTTATGCTTGAACTTTAATTTAGGCTCCAGCAGCTCCTTGGGGAAACTCCTTCATCTTCATGCTAACTGTGTTTGTCTTTGCTTTGGTGTTGGCTTGGTTACGTATTTTGCACTGAATAACCATTTACTTCCTGAAAAAGATTGATTTATCAGGCTTATGTTTATTATTATTATAACATTTAAAAACTTCAGGGCTATCTTACGAGTTGTTGTGATACGAGAGTGGGATGTTTGTTAGTGAGATCCACCTTGACCAGTGACATCTGATTTCTCACCCGTGTGGTGAGAGCTCGGTCCTGGGATGTATTTACTGGGTGAATGAGACCAAATGGCAAATTAACTGCTAATAAAAATCATTTGAAAACTTGAGGGAGGTGAACCTATGATTTCCTCCTTTCTGTTCTGAGCTTTTACTTTGACGATACGAGGAAATGAACTCAGACTGAAGCTTCTTTGCTTTCGGTCTAATTACACTGTGACTCACTTTATTGTTCGTGTGCACCTGGGTGTGCCAGCTGCTGTCATTTCTTGACCTGTAAGGTCAACCGTGCACACAACATCAGAAAATAGCCCGACGGTAATTAAACCGACGGCTGCAACCTTATCCGTGTTGCGGCCGGCCTGTGCTGCTGCAGTTAATAGGTGAGAGATAAAAGTGCATGAAATTATAGATGCATGCTTGAAAGGCTGGCAATTATGTGAAACTGAAGGAGGCTCGAGGACGGGACTATTAATCAGAAGAGTGCAGTTTAAAATTTTCCCTGAAACACGTTTTGTGGTGAAATCCTATTAACGGGCATTCTTGTCTGAAGGTGACAGAGATGCATTTATTTTTAGAGAAGCGCTGCCACGGCTCCACTTTCTCAAATTCAGACAAGGGCGCAGTGTGAGAAAGCGTCAGTTCACACTTGTTTTTATTTTTACTTTGCACAACATGAATCAACAGCAAATGAGTCTTTTGGGGGACTTCAAAGCTGGTGTTCATGACAGCACAGGAGCGAATAAAGGGGAACGTGAGCACGGCTCTTTCTTACCTGCTGGATAAAAGATCGGCTTTGTAAACACCAGCAAAACAACTGCTTCTGTTAGTCGCTAATGCAGATGCCTGGAAGCCGCCTATTTATGTGGGTTTGTTTGTTTTTCCTTCTTTGTGGTTGGAAGTAAAGTGTTATCATCCTGAGCAGCTCCTAAAGCCTCAGTTGTTCTGAAAGCTTGAAAGAGCTCAGCACATCAGGAGGTAGCTACAGATTTTTCAATTAGTCAGCAGACGGGAAAGTTAATTAGCAAACGTTTTGATAATCAATTACAAGCAGTCAAAAGACAGAACATGTCTGCCTGCAGCTTTTTCAATGAGAAAACTTGTTCTGTGTTGTTTCTGACATGCTAGCATGTTGCATGTCCTTCACTTTAAAATCGCTGCTTACAGTCTGAAGAGAAGGACCAATCATAGATGCATGCATAGATATACCCCTTTGGTAGCGGTGACAGAGGGCCGATCTGCTCAGCTCTGTGTGGTTTTGTGTGGCAGAGCATTTGAGCTAACATAGCATGCAGACGCTAACAGCAGCAGCAGTTCTTTCTTTGTGAACCTGAGAAGCGTCATTACTGAAAAGCCTGTCAGGTCTGTGACAAACCTCTCCTTGGATGTGTGTATATACACATACAGCTGTCCCTCACTGGACAATCACACACTGTCCATAGATGTCCCCTCATCTTAGCTTTATTGGTGACTTTAGGTGGAAATGAAGGGTCACGGTCGTGTGATGAACCGCCAATCCGACTCTGGAGAACGCAGGAAAACACGCATGGATGGGGTTTGAAGTGTATTCTGCTTCTCTGCTTTGTGACTAACTGTAATGACAGATGTTCATCATTGCAGATCCACTCAGTCCTGTTTTGTTTAAGTGTTCCTCAGACAGAGATTCATGGATCAGAAACAGCTGAACTGCAGTTCTGGCAGAAAGGCAGATACCACGGATGAAGATCGCCGCGGTTAGAGCTCCAGACTGTAAAGCTAAAATCTTCTTATAGCACCAGTTACAACAACAGTTACCTCAAAGTGCTTTATATACAATATTAGAGAGAAAAGCTGCAGCAATAGATGATCCCTGATGGGGAAGCACTCGGTGTCAGCGGGAAGGAAGAACTTCCTTTAAGTTTTATTTCACGAGCTCAGTGATGATGAGCGATGATGGATGAGGGGAAGGCCTCGAAGGAGACTGGCCGGGCCGATCCCCGTGTACCAATGAGAAGTGAATGAAAGGAGGGGGGGGGACAGCAGGCATTCACACCCCTCCCTCAGGCTGGGAGGGGTGTGAATGAGATCCCACTCCTGACATTCAGATAATATCTCCACTTAAATGTTTGCTCATTTAAACATAACATACAAAATCATTATTTATTATTAGTAGGAATAAATTGAGACAGTAGAGTTAAAATTTTCTCACCGTTCGTTCATGTGCTTGGTCTGAAGTTCAGTTGATGAGTCCCCAGACTGTGAAACGTTGGTGCTGTTGGTGAACGGTGTGTGCACATTATGACTCTTCATGTAAAGTCGAGAGAGTCACCCCAACAACGTACAGTCAAGCATACAGTGGATCGAAATGTCGTCGTGCTGGATCAAAGGTTCAAACTGTGGAAATAAAGTGATTCAAATGTCCATATATCAGGTACAATCACTAAGTAAATGAGTGGATTCCTAAACTGTGCTTTCTTTGCAGATGCCTTCCTAACCTGTGTGAGCACGGAGCGCGCTGTTCTCAGATGTGGAGCTCTTTCTCCTGTGACTGCTCGGGGACGGGTTATGCTGGAGCGACATGTCACAACTGTGAGCACTTTGTCTCACTTTCATTTCTTCACCTCCTCTCAAAGCCGCCATTACATCCGCCGCACCGCCCCATTTAGTCTCGGTCTGCCGAGTTGTGTCATTCGATTCGGCACACATCCGCCAGCCTCGCTCGTACCTTTCTTCACCTGTGCAGAGCAAAAAAAGCTGTCCTGCTTCGACTTGACAAGACCTTTACAACCGATGCTGCTATTCTCACTTTCAAAATTCTGAGAATCTTTTTTCGCTACACCCTAAATAGTGTTAGACTGGCTGACTTTAGACTGACTCTGCATGTAGGAGCTTTTCCTTACGGCTGTCATTTTATGACATCGCCTTGATATTTGCTGTGGAGACGGCTGTTGGAAAGTATGTGTGAAATTCCCCTGCCCCAGAATACTGATATCTTGTTTATATGCAGCCAAACACAGTCGTGTTTGGCTGATGGAGAGAACATGGCAGATAAGATCATCTGCTGAATTAAAAATAGGGCCTTTCATCAACTTCCCCGTAAACACGTGAAATCAACTTTTCTGTCTGGACTCAAAACCTGAAACCTGACAGAGTCTGAAAACACTCAGCAGATTCAATGACATTCAGAAATGTCTGGCTTCATCTCTGGAGTTTGCACACACACACACAAGCCCATTCAGCTATCTTATTGAGGACCTTCATTGACGTTACGGTTTCCCTAGCCTGACACTAAAACCACATTTTGAGCCTCAAAAATGCTTCAAACTTGTGAGGACCGTGAGTGTGTCCTCACAAGTGACTGTTGGTTCTCACAAGTATAGTAGAATGCAGATTTCGGTGCTCACAAAGACAGACAGGAACACACACACACACTTCTCGTGCTGAGTTCAAACTGCATGACTGTGACAAAAAGGTCTCATTTTGCCCTCTGGGTGGTTTTAGAAAACACTCCACTGGACAGCACCTTACTATCCTGGTTATACTGGCTGGCACTAGCATCATAACTGAGACTTGTTAGCTTTGACAGATGCAGTGGCTGGAAACATTCATTAGTAAACTCGAGACTTATGTGGCCAAAGGACTGATGAGGTATTTGTCATCTTTCCTTCCACAATCCACAGATTCACTGATCCTCCTGCAGTGTTTGTGTGTGTATGTGAGTCTTTGGCCAAAGTGTTCTCCAGGTCAGTTTCAATCAGACTGTGTAGCTGTGAACTGATTTATGTTTGTGCATCTATAGATGAGAAATTGTGTCTTTCTAAGGCTACGTCCACACGTACACGGGTATTTTTGAAAACGGAGATTTTCCGTTTTCGTTTTAAAAAACAATCCCGTCCACACGTAAAGGCAGAAATGAAGGAAAACGCTGCTATGAACATGCCAAAGCAGCAGGTGGCGCTATATTCCTAACCGTGTAGAAATGTTGGCCAATCAGAAGTCTAGAAGCCTCGGTGGGAAAAAGTAAACAAAGCTGGGGCATAGAAGCAGAACCGAGTCGTATGTGTGGAGGGACAGTAACTGTGTGTATATGTAAGCATTTAAACACTGCAGAGAGTAGAATTAACAGTAACAGTATTGTAGAAATTCATTTCACCGAAACAATAACGTGGCGCACACTGTGACGTCAAAAAAGGCGCACATCTTTGACGCTGCATTTTCTCCGTTTTTCTTGTCCACACGTAAATGCAAAAACGGAGTTTCAGAAAATATCCACCCTGGCCGGAGCTTTTAGAAATCTACGTTTTCAGTGACCGAAAACGCCGTTGACGTGTGGACGAAAGGTGCAAACGCATAGAAAAATCTGCGTTTTCAAAAATACCCGGGTAAAAGCTAATTACTGAGTTCTTTTCCTTTGTAACCACACCCTAACAAAAACATGATTACCGTATTTTCCGCAATATAAGGCGCACTTAAAGTCCTTTACTTTTCTCAAAAATCAACAGTGCGCCTTATGTATGAATTCTGGTGGTGCTTACTGAGCTCGAAATAATTTTATGTACACAGCGCTCAAAAATCTGTCAGAAACCGCACTGCTTGATGGATTGTTGGAGCATTACGGCTAATCTGGGTCTTAAACTCTGTCTGCTTCAGGTCCCAAAGTCAAACAAGCACACAGCATCACTGAGAGTTAAAAACTCGCTAAATTCTTTCATCTTTAATAAAATGATCAGTGTTGCTGCTTTACCAGGTGTAACAATTAAGTTAAACATCCAGGCATCCATGAAAACAGGATTTATTACATTTAACGGAGTCAGAAGTTAGCAGGAAGTTAGCTCGCTAGCTTCCACCTAAACATGATATAGCATGTTCTGACTGAGAGATTTCTGAGAAATTCAAACGTACAGCTCTGTTATCACTTCCAACATAAATGAAGACAGAAAACTAAACAGCAGTGACGTTTGTAGGGTTACTGAAGTTGGGCTAGCTGGTATTTAATGATGTGCTACGTGATCGCTAGCAAATAGCTATGTTAGCATAGCATAAACACACTGAAGCTGGAGGATGAACGCTAACACTTTTCCACTCGATAAAAGTTAAAGAGACAAATGTAATCGCATGGCAGGATGTTATAAAAGGACCAAACTTCAGTCAGGAGAACAACTGAGATAATCCATCCACAATACGAGGTTAGTCATTAATCGTGGCTCAAAGAAGTGACAGTTCGTCTTGTAACCGGAAAGTTGCGGGTTCAAGTCCCGGCTCGGACAGTCTCGGTCGTTGTGTCCTTGGGCAAGACACTTCACCTACCACCTACTGGTGATGGTCAGAGGGGCCGATGGCGTGATATGTCCGTAGCTGCCTCCACCAGTGTGTGAATGAATAGTGGTATTGTAAAGCACTTTGAGGGCCCTGAAAAGCGCTATATAAATGCAATCCATTATTATTATTATTATACACTACAACAACACGGGAATAGAGCCGCTGTGAGAGAATTCAGCAGTAATGAATCAATGGCACGGAAGTGGAGGAAGCAAGACTCTGACTGTTTTGTTTCGTTTAGCCGGGCTTATAATCCAGTGCGCCTTATGGTCCAAAAAATAACGTTTGTGAATATTTTTTACAAACACACAAGGTTACAAAATTCATTTCACAGCTACACCGTCTGATTTACAAGTACAAAATATTTATGAGCACAGTTTGAGCCCATAGGGGTCATGTCTGTTGTTTTAGAGGTAGTAACCTGTGAGTTATGATGGAGCATGAACAGGATGAGCTACTATGTCGCTGGTGTTCTGGTTCTTCAGGCACTCGGGGGCATCATTTTGCCGTGGGTCTAAATTAAAGGTTCGTGCTGTCATGTTAGTCTTTCGCCTCATCTGGCTCTTCAAAGCAGATCCTGTGGTATCTAGAGGAGCTCACAAAGGCCTGTGCTGTCATGTAGTTTTAATTGTTCTAATGAGTTTTTTTGCTTTTCTGTATTTGGATGCTTTGTGATGTCTCTGCCATTTATCTCAGTTTGTTACATTGACTTCTATTTTTGAAAAACATGGCGTACAAATAGGCTGACTTGACTTAATTATTTTCATCAAATAATAGAAGTTATTATGAAGCCAGCAGCAGGCAGTAACGTTTGTTTGCTGTCCTTTCATCCCATTAAAATGACAGTCACTGCCACAAACAAAGGCCTCTGTTAGTGTGTATCTCTGTGAAGATGTTTAAGATGTTCCTTGATGTGAATCGATTTGTGTGGAGGACACTGGTTCAGGATGTTGGTGCCATAATTAGCATAAAGAAAAAAGCCAAAGCATGGACATCGTTCACTTCTATAATACAGCACAGAGTTCATACATTTAGATAGGTTTTGTGTATTCATGACTCATCCAATCGAGAGCCGTCAGAGCGTGGGCTGATTGTTGGACGAATGACTGATTTCTGTCCCACTCTGCATCTTGCAGCCATTTACGAGTCTTCCTGTGAGGCCTACAAGCTGAGTGGCAGCTCATCGGGCTTCTACTTCATTGATCCAGATGGGAGTGGTCCTTTGGGGCCCACACAGGTATACTGCAACATGACAGGTGAGATCATTGTAGACCTCGTGTTGTCACCTTTTACTCCATTCAACATCACCCGAGAACACAGAGAAAGCTCAGAGTAAAGAGTGCACTGGCTTATAGATTAGCCTGCATTGATCCAGAGCCAGCAGCAGTCTAGGCGACCTCCTGAGGGTTTTTAAATGCATGTTCGGTGTGTGTTAAACACAGATTTAATCTTTCATTTGTTTCCAATCTTTTGGTTCTTTATGTATATGCAGCATGCTGCCTTTTGTTGCCTCGATCTTTAATCAGAGGGAAAGGTTTTCATGGTGTCTTCATGAATGATGCTTCAATTAAAAGGTCATCTTGTCCACTCAAGTATGGCTGAGAGCAGAAATGTGGGATTTGTTGCTTCTCAAATCAAAAAGATTACAACTTGGCACTGGGTTAGTTCAGTCGGATGAGCGGGCGACCGGCTGGGGTCGAGTCCGACCCGTGGCCCTTTACCGCATGTCTTCCCCTCTCGCTTCCCTGTATCCATCCAATAAAGCCAGTTAAAAATATATTAAAAAAAGATTACAACTTGACAGGCTTAGAGATCTTGAGCCCCCTCCCAGTGGCCTCCAGAGGCTCGGGTCATTAACGTCAACAAGGGTTAATCCCCTGCACAGTGCATTTCATGACAGTAATTCTGGATGTTTTGGATGCAGGGCGAGTCACGGTGCCATGAAAACGTTTAAACTGTTAAGTCGTTTGAAGGAATGCATAAATCTGCACATTTCTTGGGTAAAAGTTTTGGTTTTGACCTGATCCCAGCTCAAAGTCACGTCTGCAGCACTCGCCGTGCTGCAAACAGGAATATCCACATTCATTTTCACAGAAATTTGCCCATTGATTTCTGAAATCTCGGCAGTTATCTGTTGCTCGTGGAGAAACGAGGAAAGTTACGTCGAGGCAGAGGAGTCGATAAAATAATTACGAATGTCGCTGTCGGCAGCACAGATATCGACAGTGATCGCGTGGCACCGTGCTGCGTTTGGGAGAGGGTTAGTGTTGGTGTTTGGGAGCTGTGGGAGCAGACTGATGTCACCAGTGTGGGTGTTGTGATTTGGGAGCCAGAAAGAGCTTTTGATGGCACAAACACAATATGCTCTGTGTCACCTGAGATGTGACTTTTGACAGACAGGCAGAGGGACACGAGCTGATCCACAGTCTGCATGACATATAGGACAAAACATATTGAGTTTTGACACTCTGGAGGCCGTGCTCGTCACCGCGCTGTCACAACTTTCCCAGCTGCTTCGTCCCTGCAAGGTTAATGTAGCAGTGATGACATTACAGAGCGAACGTGGTGTTCTCTGCTGCTCTCGTCCAGGGTTTGTTTTTTCAGTCGTCTCCTTGAAAATCTCAGTCGTTCTGCAGCAAATATGTCTCAACTTGACCTCAATTAAGGAATCCATTAGAGATGTAAATAACTGTAAGCCTGCCAACCTGATGAGAATAATCATGAAGTAGGACACAGCCGTCTGATTTTATCCAGAATATTCTGTGTTCGTATGTGGATACCAATAAAATCAGGTTCTTTTTCAAAGTGTAGGGTTTGAAGTAGAGATGGACCAATCCGATATTACGTATCGGTCCGATACTGACCTAAATTACTGGATCGGATATCGGAGAGAAATAAAAAATGTAATCCGATCCATTAAATATCAGGAAAGCAGCTCATAAAACTTGCCACACACCGTAACTCAGCTCATAACCGTAGCACGTCGCAGCAGTATGCATCACCTGATAGAGCAGCTGTGTGTATTTGTAGCCTCGCTACCAAACCAGCATTTTATCTCCGAGGAAGTTTTCCCAGAGAGAAGTAAAGCAAGTGTGTAAGTTCATCTCTGAATGTTTGTAAAGCATTCCTGCGTTAAGCTTAACAACCGATATGGAGCGACTGCCTCTCTCTCCCTCCCTCTCCTGCTGCTACTTCAATCGTGACACTGATCAATGATCAGCTGATCGGCTTTTCTGTCGCGAGTTCGTCTCTCTTGTTTGTTTTTGGCCCACTTCGCGCCAGAAAGAGGAAACCAGCGGCTGAACAACCGCAGCACGTTTAAGCTTGATCAGCTGTTGTTAGAATTTATTTAATATTACTTTCTACACCAGGATCCTTTTCTACAGCTGACGGCTGGTAACTGTGCAGGGGCGGATCTAGCAAAGTTTAGTCAGGGGGGCCGATAGGGCATGAACAGGGAAAAGGGGCACAAAGACATACTTTTCTTTCTTATTCTCATTTAAAATATCGATCTTTTAATAAATAATTATCTGAATCTTACACCCAAAGTTTTAATCTGATGTAAAATGTATAGAAGTCCATTACTGTATATAGTAACTAATAAGTCTAAAACACCCCAGTAAGCTATAGTACTTTTTTCCTTTGGGTACCATCTGTGCAGTCTGCAGTTCTGTTGAAGAAAGATGTTGAATCTATTTAATTATTCTTGAAAAAAATAATTTATTTCTGTGCATTTTTTTTCACACTGCATTAAATTAAAGTTGATTATGTCGATTAATAAACTCCCAGAGAGCAGCCATTTGGCTTTAGCATCATGAGGTGGAGGGTGGGGGGTGGATCCCTTTTTTTTTCGTCAATAACAAATGATAAGTTGTGTCTTTGTTTGTTTGTTTTTTACTTCAGAGTTTTGCCAATCAAGTCATTTTCAGTTAGCCCTTTATGGCCGGCTGGAGCGAGCACGTTTTGCATAACTATTTTTAAATCTCGGTAGAATTGCGACCACATAAACTAGCACAATAATTTTTGTTGCATATGAAACCGGAGGAGTTGTACTCACATCTTATGCATTCAGCTTGTCCTAGGTCACGGTTTCCTTCCACATATAGCTTTGCAAAAATTGCATAAAAGCATTTGTAGCAACAAAAACATAATATTCCAGAAACACGTTTTGCCGATCTGATCAGCTGTTCATAAGACTTCCTACTGGGAACAGACGTCAGCGCGAACTATCGCATGTCCGCCATTACCGTCCCAAAACGCGGTAGTTTTTTCCTATAGAGCATTTACAAAGATATGCTGGTGTTTTTAAAATTCATGTCTGCCTTTGTGAATAGTTTCTGGGATGCTTCGAACTCAAATTACACTGGAAACAGTTCATTTCGATGCACATGCTGGTTTTTTGCAAATTTGCATTAGAATATTTATTTTTGTTTTTCCTGCAGTATATAAAAATAAAACTATGAAGACACTCAAAATAAATTTCCTGTGGTTGGAAACTATTTTGTGCAACTTTTTTCTATTTTCAGTTTCGGGTGATGAACCTCTTAAATTTCTCTAACTAGAAATATTTGTAAAAAAAAACAAAAATGATTTTCTATACGATTTTTTTGTAGTTTATTCTACTTTTTTGCAATTTATGTAATTACTACGGACTTCATGCATGCACATTATTAACATTTGGGATATAACAGTTGTGTTGATGTATAGCAACTTGAAATGCTCCCAAACTACAGCATGTAAAAACCTAAAGATAAGCTGTGGCGTTCTGTGGTAGGTCTTAAAGGGTTAATATAACTGTAAGTTTATTTTATATATAATATAGCAGAGTTCACATTCATGTGTCCAAATCTGCTTCTAACGATGACCTTGTGTGTCACACAGACACATCGTGGGGGAGATCTTGGTGCAGGAGGTGCTGATGTTGGCTTCACAGTAACGCGGGAACATTTTTCTTGCAGAGAAGAAGGTGTGGACCGTGCTGTCCCACAACAGCACAGCTCCGGTCACAGTTCAGACCTCATCCCTTCAGAAACCTCACGTCATGATCTTCAACTACAGCGCTTCGGCCAAACAACTACGTGCCATCGTATCTGGGTCGGAACAGTGCCAACAGGAAGTGGTTTACAACTGCAGGAAGTCCCGTCTTTTTAACACAAAAGGTCAGTGGCTGTCCTAAAACATGTCCCGTGCTGTCACCAGTACCACATCACTGAGAACAGCTGCACTGGATTCAGACGAGTAGACACTGGACACGTGCGTCAGCAGAAATACAGGGCAAACCTGTTTATATGCTCTTACATGCATTTGCTTGCTGACCCCACGGCTGGCTCCCCCCCACTGTGGGACTGAGTGGTCTCATCCAAATGAAGCAGCTGAACGTTGTGTTATTTGTGTTGCATTGTCAGGCTGTCAGCCCGGGGCCACGTTGGAAGCGGCTGCCCTCTTCAACATCCCCTCACCCACTGCTTCCCTACTCTTGTTATAGTTTAACAATAACCTGAAAGGCTGTGTCCAATCTTTTGGTGTACATTCATCTCAGATCTCTGGCACCTATGGTGTTCCAAACATCCGAGCACTCGCGCTTAAAGCATGAAAGATTCATGATTCTGCTGTTCCCTGGGTAGCATGTGTGCACAAACAAACAAGTTCATTATCACCCCAGACATCAAACAAGAGCCAGAACAGCGTATTTCATAGCTGCGTGAACACTCGAAGAAACAGTCGGAGTTTTGTAACGGCCGTCTTTGTTGTTTGGACGCTCGTATCTCCCGTGGAAAAAAGGTCAAATGTCTTTTTGTAATCCACTTCTCTGAGCGTGCAGGTATAAACAGCATCCATTTAAGCAACAGTGTTACTCAACAGAATATGCAAATCGCTCTTAGACGAGATGCCACTCATCGTGCTAATTTAGCAGAAACAACAACAGCAGTAGCTGTTCAAAGGGGCCGCTGGGTTTTCTGGTGCAGCCCTGCCAAAAACATCTGAAGTTCACCTCCAGTTGTGGCGTTTTGCTGTGCAGCATGTCCTCTGACTGCCAGCCTGAACACAGATGTTCAGTCATGTCCTCGTACTGAAACCACGCCGCCCTGGTGTGATTTGCATTTTAAACATGTTGTTTTTTCTTTATTAAATACTCATAATGAACTCAGTTTGCTTTGAGGCAACTGTGGCTTTTAACGTGACAGTGAATTAATATTAAACATTCACAACAGCGCTTTAATTACTCGTCTTTTTGATGTCCTATTCAGCAGTCTTCTTTGTTCTTTTCACATTTTCTTTTTTATCTAGCAAGATTTTCCTGTAGATGCATCCTTTATGAACTTACCCTGGAATTTACATCAGACGGCTCACTTTTTAAACACTTGTTTTTAAAGCTGTGCTAAAGTGGCTCCTAGAAAATAGAAATAGCACCAAGTGAAAATTGGTTTGTCAGCTGTTGCACCGTCAGGTGACTTTATATTGGGACATCTGTTGTCTTATTTTTAACACAAAAAAATTCATTATGCAGGAAATCAAATGAATTCAAATGATGTCATCATTGATTCCAGTGTGGCTCTCAGCACCACCTGCAGCATCACAGCTAAGCACACAGTGAGTGGAGTCAGGCGCGAGAGTTCGTGCCAGACCGTCCTCCGTCCATGCGTCCACTTATGCTTAACAGGATTGGACGATAGGGGCAGCGCCACCTGTTGCCGGGTGTGTGTAAAACGTGGGGCAGAATATTTGAGCTGTAACAGCAGAAGCTTTGTTTGTGCCCTCCAGCTGTCCTGTTGTTGGCCCGTGTCCTCCTTGTCCACCCCAAAGAGGACATATTTGAAAGAAATAGCGCAACAGCCACGTGTCTCTGCAGCATCAGGTACAACCATCAGACAGGTTACATGACTAAGACTGATGGTGCACAGTGTGATGTTGCAGTGAACCTGTAAGATTACTAAAATGGTAAAAGGTAACTGCAGGTGCAAACAAATAATATGGACAGAAGTGTTTCTGTTCTCTGATTTTGACTGGAGGACAAACCGAGACCTCAGTGTTAATTGAATTTAAACAGGCTGTGTACTTGGTTTGAATGTAATCCAGAGTAGCTGAGAAGCTTAGAGAAGGTTGTAGTCGTCAGGCTGTTAAGGTGCAAAACTTAATGAAGCCTGAAGCATTGTCACAGGAGTTTTCTGGGATCGTTGCTGCCAGCAGCGACAGAGGTCAGTGTATTGAATCTTTTTATCTTAAAATCTGCATCCACTGCAAAACGCAGCATCACCCAAGCTCTACTCGCTCTGCTTCAGTGCTGCTGGACGATCAGGAAGTGGATGATACTGCCTCTCTGAGCTGTGGTCTTCATTTGTTTCTCATTTCTAGAGCATACATACAGACTGGAAATATGAAATATGACTCTAATTTAATTAAACCTTTGACTTGAAGTCAATATTAACTTAAGGACAAATTTATCTGACATGTTAAGTTAGATAAACATTTTCAAACCACAAATCCTGATTTTCCATTGCAACAATACAAAATTTCAATTTGACTAAATGACACAGAAGGAAAATCCTGTCCTGTGGGACCTATTGTACTACAGGAAAATAAGTCCTGTGGGAAGAAGGAGCACTGATGTATTCCCTCCCCCTCACATATTTATAGCTCAGAGTATATTTAATGAGCTGAATGCTGCCCCTGCACTGCATACAAACCTTCACACGCTGATTTAAATGTAGGGCTATTTGTGTTTAGCCCACAGTTTGACCCCACACACAGACACACAACAACATTTCCTAGTAGTTCCCACCATGTGCACTTTAAAGTTGTCATCCCCCTTAAATAGTAGCTCTCATCTGTGTGGGTGCAAAGATTGTGAATATTAACCCTGTCAGAGCCAAAGCATCAGAAAAGATCAAACTGAGATGTTTATTAACCTTATAACAAAATCCACATTTGCTTTTGCTGCATCATGTTGGATATGATATATTTTTATTCTATATTTATTCTATACATGTGATACATTGATACATACATGTGATACATTGATACATACATGTGATAC